TTATTTAAAAGAGAGCAAGTTTCTTTTCCTTATATTAATAGGTTGTTAATAAGATTATAAATTTATAATTTGAATTATTATTAAATAAATAAATATATAAAATATTATAAGTAAATTTTTAAATAAAAAATTAATCATAATATAATAAAACATTTTAATTATAAACTTATAATATTTTATAATATTGTAAATATATCATTTTAATGTTTTTACTTGATTCCACTAATAGAGGTTGAGCCTCAATATAGATAGTTTCAGTCGTGTTAGAGATTCAAAAATTTTAATTGTGGGTGGAGAGAAATTCCTAGTTATTCCCTTCTAAGATTATTGCATCATTAATTATGTTGCATTTGTGTAACCCCATGAAAAATTCTTCAATGCAACAGTAAAACCATGTTAGTTGTGCCCCAAATTAATAAGAATTGGACATACAGAGTTCTTAAATACTATATTGAAAATTTATTAGACATTGTTTATGTTATGTCATAAATTTACCATGTTAAATCACAAAATTTATATTAACATGTCTTTAAATTTATTGAGATGTTAGTCTTTTATTGATTGATAATATCATATAAAAAGTGAGAAATACAACAATTACATTGAAGAATTTATTGCATCTCAACTAATATAAACTTAAAATTTCATATTAAAAGGTTTTAACATCCAACTTGAAACAAGTAAAAAGTTATTTGTGAAAGAGGGAAGTATTTTTTACTCTATAAAATCAAGACAAAATGTTTAAAGAAAATAAAAAGAAAAATCTTGTTTGCTATTTCGAGTTCGGTTTCATTTAAGATGCATGCTCAGCTATCAATTGAGATATTTGATGTTACAAAAATGGTATTTTCTTTCACCTTAATTCAGAACATTTTGTAACATGACTTCTTTTTTTTCTTTTCTTTTTGTAAGCAAATTTAAAGCGAAAAATGTCACTATCCATTTTACTCTCTATATGAAGAATTATATTTATTTGAGCAATCAATATACGAGGCCATTTTAGGTAGAGCAGCATATGATGACTGTCTAGTACCGTTCTGGTCCTCGAAGCTGGTGGAGTACTCCCATTCCCACATGGGAAAGGTCCACTCATCCACAAAATTTCAAATTACCTTTATTATTATTAACTTTTTCTCAAGAGCATGATGACAATACAAAGGAGTTAAATTCAAACTTGATTTTATAAAATAACTTGTTTTAGGAGTGTTTAGTATATTAATTTAAAATTAATGATTAGTGATTTTATTTAATTTAATAAATTAAAATATTTATTCATCCAAAAAATAAAATATTTAAATTAACAATAATAAATTAACTATCAAATTAAATAAAACTAATAACTGTTATTTTAAAATAGTTATATTAAACATTATTCCGTAATGGAGTTGGCATTCCTAACTCACAATATTTCTACCTCATTTTTCTTGCAACATGATTGGGGCTGTAACCGTCAATATTTTGCAAGGAAAAAAAAAAAGAAAAAAAAAAGAAACATGTTAATTAAATTGTAGCTACAACTGAGGGGAAAAAGCAATAAGATTATATAATGCTTTTTATGTTATAAAATAATTGTCATTATTTTCTTTTAAGTTTATTTTAAGTTAATTTTTTTTGTTAAAATAGATAAAATTTTGTTTACTTTAATTTTATTATTATCTATTTATTTTAATCAATTATTTTTATTATAAAA